ATATATATATATATATATATATATATATATATATATATATATATATATATATATATATAGGTTTTTCAGCCTCGTTGTCGTCTGTGAACAGGTCCTTTAAATAATGTCAATCTGTGAACACGAACAATAAAGTTGATTCAAATAAACACAGTGACGTAACTGCTAACAATGGCAGCCAGCAGTTCGGCTGTAACGGTTCTGACTCCAAACGGGAGAAGACAAACAGTAAAAGTTGCTCCAAACACACCTTTATTACAGGTAACTGTCTGTTTAACAGCCAGACGTGGCTCGAAACATGTGAAGTTTTATTTAATGCTTCTGTGTGAACACTGTTAGCATGCTAGGCTAACACCTGTTAGCCAGTGACGGGCAGTTTTTTGCCTTTGGGGTCTTTAGATCAATAAACGTGTGTATGTATCCGACGTAATTTGATCTTTTACATTCTGGCTGTGCTTACCGTACTCAGGTGCTGGAAGATGTTTGCAAAAAACATGGATTTGAACCCAGTGATCACGGTTTAAAGTGAGTATTTATTCTTGTCTGTCTAATATTTATATATTTTATGTAAAATATATACAGCATGTTGTTCTTCAGTAAGCTCAAATACTTAAAAAGTATGTATATACGAGTTATATTCATTAGAATTACTTTAAAATCTGATATGATGGAATGTTTTCTTATGATGAAACCCTTCCCTTAGCTTAGTTTTAATGTTGAAGGAATTGTTCACATATAAACCTGCATTCTGGTAATGTGTGTCAATATATTCAACTTTGGTGTCATTGTTGCACCTATTTAATGATGACATAGCAGTATTACTAACAGGTCCCCTCCTAAAAAAGCAGAATCTCCACAGACCATGAACAGTCTCCTTTGAAACATTAATTGCAATGTCCTGGTTCATTTTTAGCATAGCCTTATCAGTATCTATAATGCAACTTGCATACTTTTCTAACTGCATTTAGTCGCTTTTCCTCCCTTTTTCCCACTTGACCTGTACAAAGAAAAGGCCACATTTAAGCCTGAAAGAGTGTTTAAATTGTTTAACTGTTCTGTTAATGATAGGCTCTGTGTTCACCTTGATGCTCTATCTCTCCGGTTCTTTTCCCTGAAAAGAGATCACTCGGGACAAACTCTTTAAATAACACTTCATAACTTATATGTATTAAATAACCAGGAGACATGACAACACATTCTGATAGAAATTGTAATCCTACTCAGATCAGAGAAATTGCTTAGAGTTTACAGAATGGCAGCTGCTCACCTCCGGGCTCACCTATAAGGAAGTACGATTCGATTAACAGTTAAAAAAGCATTTTATACATCTCCAGTCTGCCACATCATCATATTTTACATCATAAAGGTTAACAGACGAGTAGACATCCATGGCTCCAGCCTTATCAAAATATTACACTTCGTTCTTAGCTGAAGGACACCGATCTCATTCCATTTCTAAACGTATGCCACATACAGAATGAACATTATAACTGTATATCCAGACAGAGGAACTGTCTTAATTAGATTAACTATTGTGGAAAACATCAGTTCTGGCAATACCAAGGTGTAATAAACTCACACATCTTCAATAATAATTATTCTAACAGTTCGAAATATTCCTACATTATAGAACACTGGTATTTTAACATGATTGTGTCGGGTTTTTTTTATTTATTTATTTTTTTTATATCTACTGTATAAGTGTATGTGTAATACACTGAGGTGTATAATCCCCTACTATATATGTCCTTATTTATTAGTTATTTGTGAAATATAAACTAGCTTGGCTTTATTGTCATTTGCTTTAACCCGAAGTTGACATTAGTAAAAATACCCACTTTAGGTTATTCGTTTAAGGAACAGTTTGGAGCGTTCTAAAACTTCTTGAGCATTGTGTTTACAAGTGTTTGCCACCCTGTTTTTACTCTTAAGAATATTGCTTTAGTTAATCCAAACCTGAAATGTGGATATGGCAGTTTAAGTACATTTCTGTCCATTGTGTTGATTCATGCGGGTGAACACCAGTGAAGATTTACTAAAAGATTTCCCAAAATTTACCAGCTTTGTTTGTGTTTCTGTTCTTTATTTTCATCAAAGGGATTTTAGGCCTTCACTATTTTTTTAAAATTGTATTTATAGAGCTGATAAGTTGAATTTTTATTGAAGTTTTTCACTTCCTCATGTTTATCCAATATTGCTATAACCCTATGAAACAGAAGTTAGCTTGGTCATCCATTCTACAAAATTGACGCTCATTTCCATTAAACCATACTTATTGGATGATAATGTCAAAATAATTAGAAGAAGATTTGAATTTCTGGGATGCATCCTGTAACTATTATGGAGTATTTAAATTTCAGAAGTTTTATCTGTCTTGTTTCTCTTGTTTCAGGTTTCAGAGGACGGTGCTTGACCTGACGCTGCCATGGAGGTTTGCCAACCTTCCCAACAATGCCAAACTAGAAATGGTGACCAGCGCAAAGAAACAAGGTGGAGCTGAAAGCCAGGTGAGTTAAAGGAAACAATAAAGCATCTCTTAGATCCCAAAGTCTTGGCTTACGTTTTTTTAGCTCCTGATACGTGGAATATTCTACAAACAGATCTTTAACTTACAGCTCTGTTGACACTGAATGAGTTTAAAGTTGTGTGGAAATAATTGCAATCAAAATCTTTGTGTGCAAGTGTTTCATATGACTACTTTTAATATAAATTGTATTTCTTTACGTTTAGCAGTGTAGCTGTGCTTCTTGGCGAAAGGGTCTCCTTTAGGAATGTCCAGATCTTACATTGATGACGAAAATATATTCCATACCAGGCAAAAAATCTTATTGGATTATATCGGCCCTTATCTTAAATCTCTAATATCAATAAGCTGTTAGAAATGTTCAACTTTTACTCATCTCTGTTGATACTCTAGATTAATAATAAACAGGTCAGTTTTTGTTTACTATTATTGTCTATATGAGAAATATCAAAGGTATTAAAAGTGCCTATGATTCTTGCTAATATCCGTATCAGTCAATCCTCAAATGAGAAAGTTTTATTGGGACATCCTTAGATATTATTATTCTCTCCTTAGATATATTATTTTTCTTAACGGGATTAGCCTTTTAGGATAAAGGTTAAGTAGAATATGTGTAAAGAGATGTATAAATAAGAAAACAGTGAAACAATGTTGTAGGTGTATTTGGGAGGAAAGATCAGGTATCTATAGGATTCATCTACTTGTTGGATCTACTGGAACCAAGAGATTTGCAGTTTCAGCTGTCCATTACTGGTAATATAGGTTAGAAATATTGTATTATAACATTTATTCCAGGTATTTATACAACAATACATAATACAAGGAATAAAAGTGAGCAGTTTTGTGAGGTAATTCTACTGGATGGGCTTTTTTAGTAAGGTATCCCTCTTAGGAGAAGAGCAACATCACTCTTTGCTCCCAGAACATATAACTTTTCTGACTCCTTCTGCTGACAAAACTATGCTTAAAGCTTTCTACACACTAAAATTGATAGGAAGTACACTAGAAATCAATATATAGTTGCTATTTGAAGGAGCAGGTTTATGAGTCCATGTGTGGGCATTCTATGGCATTTTACCTTAAAAACAGTTTGAGCTCCAGAGAGAATTAGAAGAAGGAGGCAGAGAAGCGGATTCTTTGTCCTTTAAATCCTTTTGATGTGTTAATGTATTTTTATTTCCTATGACAGTACTTCTAGTTGATTTGCTGTTCCAAATGCTCTCTCATTGTTTGTTCCCTCAGAGCAACTTCTAATGCTACCACTGTTTGTAGAAACCTTGTTTTTTTTCTTATTGTGATACTTTATTTGATTTGGTGTTGAAGAAACCTGTTCGATGAACAGGCTTTGGCTTATGTTTGTGGTGTTCTATAGTGTGTTGGATTTTGTTGTTCTTTTTATTTATGCTCTTGGTGACAAGACAAGAAATATTGCACATTATTCTGACGAAATAAACAAGTAGCTTTGTGAAGATGAAAATCCATTTTTAGTTTAAGGAAGATCATATCAGTCCCCTAAAAAATCAGAACTAGATGTTGTTTGGGATTTTTTTTAAACCTCTATGCCCTAGAGGACTCAGGGTTAAGCTGATATTTTATTTTTTAAATAGTGAGACTCACATTTGCACTCAAGTTTAGCAATTTATTCCTTTCAAAACATATTTAGTTAAAACTTCCTGGGCAAATTAGGAAACCTCTTGGATATGAGGACCAAAGGGCCTCATGATGGAAAAGCACTGCAGCATTTAAAGGTGATGCAGCTGTTAACAAGTCATTTAACTCTAGTTGATGCGGTCAGTGGAAAGACGTGTTTCTCATAGGACTTTAAAGGAGCAAAATGGGAACAATTTATTGACACTCATAGATTTTCCTCTAAAGGTTAATGAGGCGTTGCTGCTTTGATCATCTCTGAAATATTTCCCAACAGATGTGAACTTTGTTCGAAGGTTTGAGTAAGCTAAGAAAATATGAAACATTTTTTGTTTCTTTTTATCATTCCTTCTGAGAGGCTTGATTATTAAGAGATGAACTTAAAGTTTTAAACAGTGCACAGCATGTTAATAACAGCGTTACAATAAGCTGAAGATCAGTGATTTCATAAAGTTTTTTACCATGGGTTTCTAAGCTGGATGGAAAAATGTTGAAAGAGAATAGTCCAATTACCAACCACCTAGCCAGCCTTTTCGCAATTTAAGCCTCATCATATAATCCAGGTGGTTCCCTTTTTTGCTCGGACAGGTTATGATTGCATCCAGAAGAATTTTCATCCATATATCAAACCATACATCTGCTGAATAACTAATCATACAGCTCTATCTAAATAAATGTATTTGGTAGGGACAGAACAAGAGGCATTGTTAGAGTAATTAATGCCATGTAGTAAATTGCAAATTTGCAGACCTGGTCCCTAGTACATTTAAAAAGAAAACAACCTTCAGAAATAAAAACACCGCAAAAAAAAAGAAAAGACAATTAATGTTCTTTTGCCATTAAAAATATTTAGTTCAGTAGGTATGATATTCCAGATCAGTGTCCCTTTTACTGCAAACATGATCTATCCATAAGATGATCGGAATCAGGCTGGTAGGCTGGTAGTTGAATCAGAATCGTTACATTTCTGAGTCACACATTTAATGCTACAGGAACAAGACCTTCAATACATAAAAAAAAAAGAGCAATTTCAC